ATGTTGTGATCAGGACCACACACACACAGATACACGCACACACACACACACACACAGATACACGCACAGGAAAACAGACAAGATCTGATTTCAAACTAAAAGCAATATTTTACCAAAACACATCAAAAACAGGCCTTGCTCAATAATAAGAACTGAACTACAAAGGTAAACATCGCTGGGTGGTGATGTTTTATCATTCACAATCCAACAGATTTAACCAAACACGTGTTGGATTCACAGCAGACCACACATATATTTGTACTCTTCCTATCTCACAATACGACCCTTCTAATTATCATCTGCTGGATGAGCAGCATTTACATATGATAAACTTTGGTTTTACTTTAAGTCGCCTCATCAATTTAACTTTATGCTCTCGCTTTCTCATGCACTATACTTTCAATCTTGCCAATATAATAGCAACGATTTTGTATTTAGTAAGGCTTAAAAGTAGGAATTGAGACCATAAACACATCAGCAATGTGTTGAGAGTGGCTGCAGATAAGTTAAAAAGTTAGACTTTTTGCTCATTGGCCTCCATAAAATCTGACTTCTTTTTGCGACCACAAGAGTCGCCCCCTGCTGGGTATTAGTAAGACTGTAGGTTTAAGGCACATGAATGTTATGTCCATCTTATGTCCAACACATAAAAGAACACCCACAACCACAAGACTAGACATTGGCAATACCTAATCTTTGATTCATTTCAAGTTGCAACATTTTTGTCACTGTTTTACATTACTATTGTGTTAGTTAATATTTCTGTGATAATATTTGTTGTGATAAACTACTTGAGTAGTTTGGGGAAAGCTTTTTTTATTGACCCAGTAATGTACTCTGAGTTTAGGACCGACTATTGTTGCTCATCAGCCTAGTAAAATCCAATGACTTGGATTTATTTCACCCCCACCAAACACCATCTGATGTAGATGTTTTGAGTTACTTTGATTTGTTGATGATTTGTTGTGACATTACCCCACAGTGTGCTGACAAGCTCATGTTTTATGTTTTTAAATGATAAACTAAAGCAGCGTGTATCCTTATTTATACATTATCTAACAGAAAGTGAAATGCTGAGAGATGAACACACTCACTCTGCAGGGTACTCCACATGAAAAACATTTTAGCTTCAGAAATTTAATTAACCAACCAGCAGGAGTAACGAGTGTGTACACAGAAATGTAATGAAATGATCTGTAAATCAAATCATAACAGAACAACTGTCCAATTACTTGCAACATATGGATCTCTGAAAATCTTTGGCTTCAGCGTAATGAATACATCTCAGAGGACAATCATTTATGGATGGAAAAGTGACTTTACGTGACATAAACTTCTCAGTTATTATCTTGTGACTCTGTGACACATTGTGAAACATTTTAAATCACTAAATCACTATGCACAGAGACCCCAACACAGCTAAATGCTGAAATATGTTATTTTATAATCCTTTCTGTTAAATCTGGAGCAAATTTGTAACATTGTTTTTGCCTGCAAATTGTAAAACCTAAGTTAGCCTAGCATAGCACAAAAAATAAACATGGAAGTCATTACCATGACTTTTCCCAATGCTCACTAATTGCTCACAAATAGCCTGTCTTCTATACTGTGAATTTAATAAAGCTGCTACTAGTAAACATTTGAAAAGTTTCAATGCAACTTCTTATCAATTCTACTGTTTCTGATACCTATGCTAATCTAAGCTAATTATCTATTAGCTATTGCCAGCTACACCCCAGTCATACAGGCCTAGAGAATGACCGCTGTGGCAGCAACAAGTAAAAGTGTGAAGTCTCCAGTATGTTATTGAGTGATTAATGGAGGTTACTGGTAGTCACTATGTGAAACTGGCTACCAAGAGGATGTTGCACCAAAAACCTTGTTAGCAGATTGCTGCTGTTGCATGAGAAACACTGACTTGTCTGCAAACCCTCGCCAATTAGTCACCAAAAGGCAATGAAATTAAGGAAAGTACAACATGAAGGCAGTTCTCCATTAAAGTAAAAGGTGCATCTTTTGAAACGCATTGGTTATAGCAGCAAAGCACAACATTTACTTAGTTAACTTTCTAGATTTCTGGTTTGAATCGTATACTTTTAAGTTTTACTAAGGCTTGGCCAGTAAATGGAACATCTTTGCAGATAATTCTACAACTTTCCTGCAAATTATCGGCAACTTCAGTAATTTGCTAGCAACCAAAGCAATCACACTTTTTTGTGTCTGGCTAACAGTTTAGTTGGCAGAAAGTACAATTTTAGATTTACCACAAATACCTTTCCACAAAAGGTATTTGTGGTAAAGGTGTTTGTCTGTTTGTTTGTTTTTTCACTCAAAAGAATAACCATTTAAACTGCAAAAGGTAGGAAAACTTTGTATACGTGGTATAGAGATTTACAGTTATAATATTATTTAACATGTTGCATAATTGTTGAAGTTACCATATATTATTTTAACTGGAATATAACTTGACTTCACACAGGGAGCGTTAGAGCAACAGAAACATGTGCAGGTGCGTGCCACCCAGCAAAAATTGAGCTTAAAACAGTAATTTAATGCAATATGAGATTTGCCTTTAATTTTGTGATTTGAGTAGAAAATAAACCAGCTCTGTTGCTGTGTTTTCATAGCATGCCTGACAAAACTACACCATAAAATAACCTTCTTCACGGTATGCATACAAAGATATCCTGTGCTGTATGGGAAGGAGGGGCTTAGTCTGGAAGTTACCCTATCAAATGTGTGCTTAAGTGTACAAAGTGTACAAAGCAAACTGGAGCTCACATTTGCAAATAAACACATGTGAAAAACATTTTTTTACCGCATTTTCTGAATCATCTATGTGAACCAAGCCCTTTGAACAAACATATATTCTTGTGTGCGCACCCTCGCTGTATGCCAGATCACTGACAATTACCAGATGGCACAGGGAGGCTAGACAGCCCAGATTAATCAGGGCATATGTCTTCACGCTGGATGTGACATTGGATGATCTGTGTGTCTACATAGCACAGGCTAGCTTGGATGTAGTGTGAGGTGATGTGTGTACTTTTTTATGTGCACACAGAGAAAAAAGCATGTAGGGGTTGTGTCTGTGCTAGGCGGTGGATGGTTTATGTCTGCAAATATCCTCTCTCACTCGTTCCAAATCTTGGGCTGTGTTCGCTTGACTTGGTGTGGGATCCTGTGTTTCAGATTTGTAGCATCTGAGTGTGTTTGAGAATACAGTTTCTGAACTGCTCATAATGTTTGCAATTGTTATGTGTATGCACCAGTGTTACTAAGTGACTGTCAGCCAATTTTAGTCAGCTGTTTGTGTTTCTGAACAAACAATTTCAGCACCGATGCATTAAATTAGTTTCCATACCCTATTTCTTTCACTGTCACTGACGTCTACAATAATAACATAGCTGAGGTTACATAATGAAAGTATTGTTTATCTTCCCTTAACCTGGGCACAGGCTGCTTAAAAACCAGCCTTTTTGCCAAGTCAAGTGCTTTACAGTTGTAGTCGTTCTCATAACCAGCAGGGGGCAAATCTCTTGTTGCAGAAACAGGTCCGATCATGTAGAAGTCAGTAGGAAAATTGTCTCACATGACGTCTGACCTCAGTAAACAATCTCCTGATGAGTAAATGTTTGCAGAAGAAAGCTGAAGATACCGACCACCACAATGCTAAACTCAAAGCTCGAGAATGTCCACAAACCAGTGGGTGACTGTGTATTCAAACTATCAAAATGTTCCTTTGAGTTTTTCTGCTAAACCCATGTTCTTGCTTAAGGTGTGGATTTTTTGCATTCTGAATGTCCAGATGGTGGTTAAAATGTTTAGCACCAATCATTTTTCAGCAAATAGAAGGACAATATGTTCCACTCTAGCTAGCACAGAGAAAGCTTTTATTGGCTGTTCCCTTATTTAAAACGAGTCGCCACAGCGGATGCATCCACATATTTGATTTGGCACAGATTTTTAGGCTGGATGCCCTTCCTGATGCAACCCTCCCAGGGATCTCCACCTTCTCTGTGTTAGCTACTATACTAGAGGATTTTTCTTTTTTTTTAACTGAAGCATTGACATTGCTAGAGGCTTGACAGGTTTTAAGCTTTCCCCAAATGCAGAAGCTAGACCAACAATTACAGTGAAAGAAAGCATAGAAAAAAGTGCTCATGTGAATGGGTGAATGAGGCAAGCTGTATGAACTGCTTTGAGTGCACTATATAAGAACCAGTCCTTTTACTAAATGCTGCAGTCGTTTTAGGTAAGTGCACATTTTGCCATGTTCAAGTTGAGCTACTACCCTGGAAAGATAATGCAATACACCAATAACTATGTTAACTCCATGTATCCAAAATGAGATTTTTATGTTATGGAACCAGTGATCATTGCAGTGAAAACAACAACTCCATGTAACCCAACCTAAATGTCACTTTAATCCATGCTCTCTGTGATTGTGAAACTAGACTATTTGCATGTGTTTCTGTCATCTTCTTCTCACATTGTTGCTTTGTGGTTGGTTGCATAACTGCTCCATGAACTCAAATATAATGCAGCTTCACAGGTTCGACAAGATAGATAAAATAGTTAACATGAAAAGATAAGAGAAGGAATCAAGGGAAAGAGAAAGAAAAGACATCAACCACGCAGAGTGGTCAGGCTGCATACTACCCACAGCATCGCTCTCTGTCCTTTAATCTTTCAGTGCCGGGCTAATTCTTATTGGCGTTATCAAGATTTCTCCCTCCTTGTTTTCACTTCTTCTTGGCTTGCAGACTCCTCTTCAAAAAGCTCTTGGCTCTTTCTACAGTTTGTCACAGAGGCAATCCCCTTCCTCCACTAAAGGTCTTTACATAAAATCCACAGTTTTAGTGTTTCGCAAGTAGGAAGTCTTTAGATTCCCCAAGTGGTTTTAAGTCCAGTCAAAGGTAAAATAAAAATGAATTACTTTTAAAATCACCACAGTCCATTGTGTAAATCTCATTCTCAGCCATACATATGTACAGAACTCCCATCGCACACTTAAAAAAGAAGTTTTTGCTTTGGTTTGATTGTTTCATTTTCTTCTGCAGCCGTTGATGTAGAGAGTTAAGTTTTTATTTTGTGTAAATTCTTCAAATCCAAACCAAGGGTTTAATTTTTTCCCATAAAAAAGTCACTGACATATTCACACATGTAGGGTCATGTTATATTGAGATCTAGATAGCATGGTGGACTAATTTCTGAACTTCACCTAGAAGGTTGTGATTTTATTTTTTTCCTGTGGCAAATTCCCCCTTAAGAATCAACTGTAAATCAAAGTCCTCACATTTATTTCTTTTTCACAATTGCACATGTCTTTTATCTTGAAGTCTTGCTTTCTCTTAATCGAGAGAGCAGGAAAGGCAAATCCACTATCGTCTTGCAGTATTCTTCACCCATGTAGATCTTTCAAACCCCAGTTCTTCCATCCTTCAGTGCATCTGCCCAAGCAAACACTGATGATCCAGACCTCCATTTCCTCTTCTGTCTATAGGACCATTTTTTCCCCCCAATCAGTGGATATTCAAAAGGCCCCAAGCTCTCCAGCCCATCTGTTTATCCATCCATTGTCCCATCGCTTCTTTCTTTTTTTTCTCCAATCCTTTCCTCTCAGAGGTCCAGACGGAAGGCGCCAAAGTAGCTAGCAGATTCTTCTGCATTTACCATGGTGGGGGAAGAGACAGAGACGAAGATCTCGTCACCGGCCCTCAGTTCAAAAAGTCCTCCCTGGTAAACGGAGTGTAGGGCGTACTCAGCGTCTGGAGCCCAGCACTTGGTTCCCACACCTTTCAGGAGCTGGAAAAAAATTACAAAGAAGAGAAAATCATCCCAGTGCTAATGAAAGTGCTGAAAGGTACAAATACTTCAGGATGATCTTTGATTGTTTTAGGAAAACAGAGATGCTGTACCTGTATGGGGCTTGGGTAGGACGTTTTCTTGTAGACGCACTGCACCAGTTGGTGGCTGACGCTGCGCTGGTCCCCCTCATTTGCAGATGGGGATGGATAACGGAAATACACCTGGACAAAGGTGGAAATAAGTTAATGCAGTGACTTGTTTTATGTTTTTTCCTCTTTGACGTGCCCTTGTTTTTGACAGAAAAGCAGGTTTCCTGCAGTCTACCTTACAGGTAGACCCTACTTGTAAGGTAGACCCTACGATAATAAATCCAATCATGTTGTAAACAACAATTAATGGTTAATAAAATTGAATATACAACAGTCACAGACACCTTTATTCAGCAGCTATCACTACAAGGTTAATTAATGACAAACTTGTCATGTTAAAACACACAAAAATATGGCAAAGTGCCTGGAGTATCTCCTCCATCTGCATAGCTTTCTCACCTGTGAGTACAGATAGTACCTCCCATCTTGGGGCACTCGGAGCTTCCCATTAGACAGGGTCATGTTGTGCAGGTGAGCTCCTAGGCTCTGATTGGCCCATGAGCGGACCAAATGGCGGCAGGACTGATGAAGACCAGGCATGATGCTCAGGGAGGAAGAAAACCCTGTTGGCAAAGATTAAAAAAGTGTCAAGAGACAAATTCTAAACAGAAGAGGGAAGAAAAACTGTCACATGGGGATGGAAAATAAAAGGAGTGGGGAAAAACAAACCAGCTAAAGCCTAGAAATCATAGATTGGATGTAATAAAAAAAAAATCAACACCAGGTTTAAAAACTAAGCAAAGACACATATCAGTGAGTGTTTGCCCAAAGCTCAAAAGCGGCAGCAGCTGGCAAAATGAACCTTGAATAAATACAGTTTGTGACTCCAGAGTAGTGCGCTTCTTTCTTACAGCCGCCAAAGTTGAGCAATAATTTGCCTTTTCCCCTAAAGCCCTTAAAATATTGAGAAACATCTGAAATACTGAGTTAAAAAAGATAAAATCCTGTGATTAAAAAAAAGCACTTTTAATTACAGTATTATTTAAAATTTTGGTGAACGATGTTTACATTACACAGTTGAGCCAGTTGCACCATGTCTATTGGACAATGTAGGCGATGTGGATTTTCCTTCTGAGTACTCTGTAACAGGGCACTCTGAAGTGCACATTCAAACTTGTACAATGGCCACTTAAAGCAGAAGTGGTGATTTAATCTTTGGTTAAGCCTGTTTCACCGGTAAGAGGCACCAGCTTGAAGCCAAAGTCCTGTAAGATGCAGGAAATACTGAATACTGCTGACTAGAACCATGTGTAGCAGTTTTTCTCATGGCAGAAACATTTAACACAAGTGATTTCTTGTGCATGCTGGCTTTATTTCCTCTGCCACGTGTACTTGTGTGACTAGTGTGCAAATCTGAAACACTGCCATCAACAATAGAAGCTTAAGTCTATAACACTACAATGTAAATGCTGTGATTTATTAGCACATAACCATCACAGAGACCTTAACTGAATAAACTCTTCCATCTGATCTAACGCTGAAAAATGATTTACAATCCAGAAGTGCGAAAAACTGCAGTTCCTTTAGTGGCCACTTGAGGCTCCAAAGACAAGTCACTTTCCAAAGGCTTGCATTAAAAAACATGTTTACAGCCTGATACCAAAAACTGTGTTAGCTTTTCTCTTCATAAGAACTCCATGCTGGGTGATTTTTTATTTTAGAACACATCCACCTGGATACTGAAGGGATGGGGGGGGTACATTCACTTTAAATGAAAAGTTTTCCCAAAAGAGCTTCACCTCTGCTAGTCAATGAAGTGGACTGCACCATTGTGTACGTGCTGTTTTAGCAGGTACTATCCAAAAAATAATATGACTTACTGTATGGAACAAACCATCCAAGACGTGTGTTACTGACCTGTTGTCTGTGTGACAGTCGTGACAACTTGGTCTTCAAGATGCACTGAAACTGGAAAACGGTAAACGGAGATGGTGTGCCTTTAAGTACAAGTTGCATTTTTTGAAACTTGTTGGCTGCACCTCTGCAGTGCAACTTTTACTTTGAATGTAAAAGTAAATTTATTGTACAGTTTTTCAAGTTGCACTGCTGCTCAGCTAATAGTTAGCAAGCATTCGCAGACAAACATGAAAAATAGGAAACTGGGGCAGTTTGTTACCAAACAAATGGATTGCTTGGAGGTTTTTGGTGCAGCAACTTCTGTGCAACCAATTTCCAGCCAGGAACTATCAGAAACCCTAACAACCAGTCAGGAAAGACGCAGTTGCAACTAGCAAATGGTGATGTCCAACATGGCGATAATTCACGGCATAACTCTTAATGTCTGCAAAATGTGTGCAAGCTTATCTTCATTAACTAATACGTAAGCATGCTGTGCTTTTGCTGTGCTTTTGCTGTCCACATAAGGTACCTTAGGGCTCCAAACAAACCAACGTGGCAACAGCCAAAAGGCAAACTCTGAAGCTTCAAAACGGACAGTCGAAACCCAGATGGCAAAGTCATGGTGACGACTTCAATTCTTTACACTCTCAGTTGTAATTAGTCGGGTCATAGCTTGTGTGTGCCAGCGTGAAACAGTTTTCTTCATGTGTAGGATAACTTCTCTTTCTAAGAAACACCCATCGCGGATCAAAGTTCCTCCAGTACTTCCTTATGAGAAATCCAGGCTTAATGTGTGAACCTCACCCTCTTACACACACACAGTCTTTCTAGCTCTTGCACACACACACACACAGCACATTTCTTACCCTTTGTCAACTCAGTGGAAATAACATAAGGAAGGCTTTGCCAGATTGTCAACACCCTTCAGCTTGCACGACCGATTCAGATGAAACAATACCAAAGTCATGAAAAACACATTCCAACTTTAAATTCCATGTTTTATAACGTGTGTGATTCTGATCTGTGAACTATATAAATATCTACTTTACTGCCACATACAGCATACTGGTAGACCTCACAGACTCAGCTTAAAACTTCAGTGTTTCTTAGTAAATGCCTCGGGCACACAGGAAGTGGTATGAAAAAGAGCAGCAGAGTAGACTTTAATGTGCTTCTAAACATGCTACACAGGAAAATGGGGAAGAAAATGTGATTTGTAACTTTAACAGATGGAATAACTTAATAATCCACCCATTCATCTTTTTTAATTGGTTATACAGATAGGACCAGTGGAAGGGCTGGAGCCAATATCTGCTATCATTGGGCAAAAAGTGGGGTACAGGCTGGACAGGTTGACTTCCATCACAGTTCACTAATTTTGATTAAATAAATAATCAAACATACATGTTTTTGGTTTCTGGGAAACCAGAGGCCCCAGTGTACACCAAGGAACTCGATAATAATACATTTTATTTCTTTGTGAATAATTTTAATAAACAAAGCTTCCTAAACAGGACTGTAGTGTGTGTAAATCTGAAAATAGCCACTGGGTGTGCGTGACACTCACGGACTGTAGCGCTACATTTCTGTGATCTAAGGAGCTTGGAATGAAAAGCTCTAGACTTCTTTAAGTTTCGTGAAGATTTTTTATCTTTCATCCGAGAAGCTTCTTCAGATTATTTTCTTTAGATATTTTTTAAACTTCATGAGCTGCTGCTCCCAATACTCCTCAGTGTTACTTAGTCTAATTCAGTCCAGATGTCTGCATCATGTAGGAACCAAAACTGTTTATGTGCTTATCGTTGGTTTTATCCATTCAACCCACAGTTTTGTGCATGCTCGGCACATGCAAAACATACGGCTCAGCGGCAAAACTTTCATTTTCCTCTCTGACGTCCCGAAATCTTTCGCCTAGATTAATGATGACCGCTTAAACACAGATGCCTCACCTTGAGAACTGGCGTCTCTGAGGGTCAAGTGGGCAGATGGCCTCTGGGTCACGGGGCTCATAAACTTTGACCCTGAGTTGTTGAAATTGTGAGGCATGGTTCTCGCCTCTAAGGGAGAAAGGGGATCAAAGAACATTAAAAAAGTTAGTGAGAAGGTGTGTGTCTGTCTGTGTTTGTGTGTGTGTCTGTAGACAAAGGGATGCTCACCAGTGAAGATGCGCTTTGAGATGATGCTATCTGCCACCTAAAAGAAAATATAGAAAAACATACAAGTCAACAAAAATGTGAGAATAAGAAAAAAAAGGAATTGTTCACTTTATGCTGTTAAATTTAACATCTTAGCGTGACCTAAAAAAAAAAGAATGTGCAAACTCACTGCTGGATAAAAAGTAGGTTAATGTAACATGGTGAGCTAGACTAGCTTGTTTCATCTGAGTAACGCAAATAACAAAGGATTATTCACACAGGGCTGGATAGGATACAGCTGATTCATCTAATGCCATCCACCACAATTACCAGACATGTAAAACGATATAAAATTGTAATATTTGTGTAAAAATCTAACATTCAAACTTTTGTTGATAAGTAAACTAAATCAGCAAAAATAAAGTAATTTTTAAAGTTTAATTTATTTTTGTATATTTTGTATACTTTTGTTTTTTGTCTAAAATTAAATCTCTATATACTATTTACATGTTTTAAATACATTTATTTATTTAAATTATTACATTTCTATTTTTTCCAATGCTTTTTGAAGCATAATAAAACATTAGCAATAAGCAAATAAAATATAATGGTTAACTTAATTCTCTAATGCCTGACAGGAGGTCAACTTAGGTCTGATGACTGTTGTAAATACACGAGCATAAATCAAAGTTACATGAACTTTCCATAGTGTTCCAGAGAGAGGGGAAACTGCTCTTTAAGTTAACTACAGTACATACAGTACATATTAAATAACTGAGAAAACGGGATTGTAAATAGCTTGATTGAATTATTTCAGGAAATCAGAGGATCTCCAGTCACAGCTCTACATTGCATAGCCACAGGAGCACAACATCCTTAACCTATGCACGGAATCAGTCTTTAATTAATCATTAAAGCAATTAAACAGCACCACAATAAGGTTTTGAACTTGTGAATTATTGGTCCCATAAATCACTCCCCCACAAATGTTGTCTGTAATTGGATAAAGTACAAAACACTAAGTGTATGAAAGTCAATTTAAAGATAAAGGCACTGTGTTGTACTGTAAGTGTTGTCTGTCAGTCCATTTTTACAGCTTTGTAACTGTTAATAAAGGTGAGCTTGTCCAGCTAAAGTGAGAGTTGAAGGTGTTATTTAACTCTGACTGTAAAGTGAATCATTAACCTGCAGTTGTTTCTTCGGGCTCCTCAGACAGCCAGAGCCAGTTTTATGGGTGTGAAGTGGCTGCAGTGGACACAGTTGTTTTGTTTGTGTCGACTGTTCTGTAATGAATTTATTGATTCTATAGTTGAGTAATATTTGTACAGCCCTAAAGTAGCAATGTGTCATGGTTGAGCTTCGTGATGTTTACGACACCGTCCCAGCTTTGATTCACATAGGGAAAAGAAAGTTTGCTAAGAGAGGAAACCTTAAGGCAACAAACATGTTCTAGGGACAAGATAAAGGAGAAGTATTGAAATTACAACACGAATCATTGTGAATATATCAGATAAAGATAAAGATCTAATATTTGGTCTTTTAAGTTTAGCTGCTAAAGGTAAAAGATATTTTCTTTTTTCACAGAAAAATCTTCAGTTGACCCAAAATGCTGCACTGAGAGCACTAACTGGGACTAGAAAGAGAGAGCATATTTCTCCCATTTTGGCTTTGTTTTGGCTCCCTGTTTAATCCAGAATCAAGTTTAAAATATAAAGTCTTTAATAATCAGGCCCCATCTTATCTTAAAGAGCCTTCAGCTTTCAGGCCCCTCATCTGTGGAAACAGCTCCAATTAAGGTTTGTTAGACAGACTCTTTCAAGATGAAGTTTTCCGTATAGTTATGCTGGACCAGGTGACCCTGAACCGTCCCTTAGTTACGCTCCTAAAGACTGAGATTGCTGGAGGATTTCCCATGATGCCATTACTCCTCCAATCCCTTCTTTCTTCCTTTGTACACCACTATTGCATGTCATTAACTTTTGTCCCAGACTGCCTTTTGTCCTGTTTATTGCCTATGGTCTATTACTCCCTCACTCCCAAACCAGTTGCAGCAGATGGCTGCCCCTCCCTGAGCCTGGTTCTGCTTCTTCCTCCCCGCCATCGTAAAGTGCTAGTGGAGCTCTTCCTCTAAGACCTTGCAGGTCTTCACGTCACAACAAAGTGCCTTGAGATGAGTGTTGCTGTGAACTGGTATAATTAATCTGAATTATTTTAGCGTAGCTCAACTAACTTTGGTACACTTCTCTCAGTGAGAATGAGGGAGAGGGACCTGATCCTGATGAATAATGACTACAGGAGAAAGAACATTCAGGACATTTTCATCAGCGGAGAATGTGTGGAGAGGTTTCAGACTTAGCTTAGTTTTAAAATTGGACAATACACTACATGCTCTTTTTTTCTTTCATTTTACACTCTCCTGTCTTTTTTGCCTTCTTTCATCATCTCAACTCTAAAATATAAACTTTCCTTTTCTTCCCTCAACAGCACACACTTCCCCGTCGTCCAGTCTCTGGTTTATTTCTCCTGCTCCTCTCTATCATTTATGTTCCCAGCGAGTGGCTTTTGTTTCATCCCAGGTGTAGACACAGCCAGGACCAAAATACAAACAACTGACAAATTCAAAGAATAAAGAACAAACAGCCAAAAAAAACAAGCCGACCCTCAACAGCACAAAGTGTTCTAGTAAAGTGTTTGGGCACCTCGTGCTGCCAGAACAGCTTCGGTGTGCCTTGGCATTGATTCCTCAAGTCTCTGGAACATCAATCTAACAAATGATATTCCTTTATTTAGTGTTTTGATGATGTGGTGGAGAGTGCTGTCCAAAGCATGGGCCCAAAGATCTTCCACTGGTGTTAAACCGAACTGAAAGCTGGTGACTTAAAGCGAAAGCATATGATTCTCATCAAACCACTCGGTGGCATTGTCATCCTGGAGTCTGCCATGAGAATACAAGTGTTTTAAACTGATCTTTTCCTCTAAGGAATCAAGAAAGCCAACCCCTAACAGAGCCCCCAGACCCCATAACGGCAAGGGTCAAGGGTCAAAGTTCTTCCTTTAATTTGTCACGCGTGCACACACACACACAGATGCGTTTTGTCTCTCACACACACTCAGTAAATCTTCTTCTCCTACACACTGCTTTCTCTACTGACACGTGTTCCTTTTTTTGTCTCTCCCACTTTGTAAATAAAGCTTCAGTTGCCTTTTGTGCATAAAATAGATTTCCCTCAGCTTTAACTTACTTAGCGAGCTTTTAATTTATAATTCCTTTTACTTCTCTCCCCCCTTTTGCCTGTTCTCTCTCCCTTTCCCCCCTTTCTACTACATGTCTGCCCACTCTGCCCACCTGTTGGGCTCATGTGGTCAATCTGAAGTGCCCCGAAGCTGGGCACTGAGCTCCTATTGAAATAAATCTCTGCGATTAATTTGCAGAAATACCACAATATCCTGAATATGATTAATTCCATTTTTAATGGTCACCCAGCTGTCCATGTGATGTTATTTTTGGCAGTGGGATTGTTTCTCCTGCACTGAACACTCAGCTCAACCTGCAAATTGAGCATGATTGCTCTGGGGTTCAGTATGTGTGTGTGTGTGTGTGTGTGTGTGTGTGTCAGCGTGACACCACGGCTTGTGTATATCCTATGTACTCTAAGGGGGGAACACAATATAGAAAAGCGCAACACAGAGTGTCGGCTGGTCTCGCTCGGCGTAGCGTGCCTGTCTCTGCCTAACGTTCCTTGGGTCCTGAAACCAGAAAATTACCCCCACACACACTGAAAGAGAGAAAATTGCCAACAGACTTTCTGCCCTGCATGTGGCTGCAGTTGAAGAAAGAAAGGGAAAAAAAAAACAACCCAGAAAAACACAGTGTTTCAGAAGCTTTCAAGCTCTTTCAGGGCAACTCTGGAGCAACATGTTTTCATTATGTCTGCTGTCTCTGATGCTTAAGCTCTCGCTTGGGAAACTATGGGATGGCTACAGCATGACATCAGCTACATGCATAATGCTGCACACAGGATTGGAAGGTTTCAGTGGCATCCTGAAAGATTCTGGACCAGCAGCACTTTTAAATGTGAAACCAGTGTCACTTGGAGTTATAGTGCTTTGTTTCCTTTACTGCCATTTGCCATCTGGTTTTTATTTACAACCTTCTGTATGCAGTTACATATGCTCGCTGGCCACTTCATTAGGTACAAGGTGTCAACCGCTCACTAATGCAATCAGCCAATCACATGGTGGCAACTGCATGCATTTAGGTACATAGGCATGGTCAATACGACCTTCAAATACCAAATAGGAAATAAAGCTGAGGAAGGAAGTAATAATAATCGCTTATTACAACCAAGGTATTCAGAAGAGTGTCTCTAAACAGACTGCAGCTCAATCCTTGAAGCAGATGGGCTACAGCAGCAGAAGACCACACTGGGTGCCATTGCTGTCAGCTAAGAACAGGAAACTGAGGCTACAGTTCACACAGACTTAATCATATTGGACAATATATTGGACTATATTGCACATATACACATAAAGCTCATTCTCACTTTTAGTCTTATTTTAGAATGTGTACTTGAGTTTTTTTCAAAACACACAACACCCCAATGGGTGTTGTGTGTTTTGTGTACAAGGCGTCAAACTTGTTTGAAATAAATGGCAGGCCCTGATGTGAAAAGATAAAGCACATTTTATATAAAAATGATTCCTGCGGGATTTTCCATAAAGACATAAAACACACAACTGGCCGCGGTGAAAGTAAATCATGTTCTGAGCGAGGATGATTTTTCTTGCACTGTCCAAGTCCATTGCTATGAGAGTTAAGAAACACTTGCTGAAAAATGGAGTGTGAGGGAAGGAAAATGAGTTCTGACATCTTAAACGTATAACGTAAAAACACATCTAAGTGTTGTTCTGCATAAGTAAACACAATATTTCCTTCAGGTGAGCCGATCGCATGAATTATGCCTCAGTGGAAACTTGCATGGGTTGTTTTCAGTATGATGAATTGGTAACAAAGGGAACTTTTTTCTTTCTTTCTTTTTTTTTTGATTTTCCAACTTT